TTAATAGTTATTATTCATAAAATCTTTATAAACTTTAGAACAAACATTGTGCCAAAACAAAGCATGTCACTGAAGTCCTGCAAATATAGTTTATAGCTAATGCTATTTTTCAACTCCTGTTTCTGGCTGAGCTTTTATATGAAATAGAATTTACATTATATACAAATTTCATTTAAAACATATAAACCCAATAAAACTGCAAAACATGAATATCACTTTTTTGTGTGGGTTCTGTCTTCAAACCAAAAACTTCTATGAGAGGGTCATTTAGGTCATCCTCCTGGATTAATGTCATTGTGTAAAGATGCTGACATTAGCCCTGCTTGCAATCACCACTCTGGTCTCTATTCCACCAATAGGGGTGATTCCAGTCAGTCAGTAAGTGTTGCTGCTTGCTGCTTGTGTAACCTTTTTTGCCAATGTAGCTCTGCAAATCGATGTCCCGGAGCTAGATGATAGCCCAAAAGATTTGCTTTCACAAGCAGACCGTTATGGCAACAGACATTATGGTTGTTGCCATAATGGTCTGCTGTCATAAGCAGACCATTATGGCAACAACCATAATGTCTGTTATTTAGTAAAACCGTATACAGCAGACACAGATATGGAAAGGAAGGTGAGAAAGAAAGAGGGGACACTAAGGGGAGTGCTCATGAAGAGAGAAAATAAAACAAAACAACAAAAATTGCCAACACAGAACACATAGAGAAACTCCTAGAAGTCTGCATCCACACATGCATGAGAGGGACAGAAAACAGAGAACATAACAGCAAAAAGAAGACAACAGAGAATCAAAGTAAACATCAAAAAAGCATCCAAAGCCGATGGTATCCCTCAGACATCTATGTATGTGGAAGGCATAACCTATTGTGATTACACAACATTATTCAGGGTGCTATATATTTGTAGCTGCAGCTTAGTATTTAATAATAGTGTGTATCCCTGAACACTTCGAACCAAACTTATACAAGAGCATGTATGCATAGGCATGCTCATGTATGAGGGATTTACAAAGCTTCTTCAGAGGTAAAATATGCTTAGGAGCAGGCGTGGGCGGCCCCAGACTCACCCTACAGGGCCCAGGATTGATAAAGAGACAACGTGAGCCCGAGATATTCAGAACAGGGCTGCAACTAATGATTATTTTGAAAATCTATTAATCTGTCGATTATGTTTTCAATAAATCGATTAATAATCGGATAGCCAAGGGTTCCTTAAAGAATACTTTTTACGAATTTAAACTAGGTGAAACAAAAATGTTGGATAGGGTATTTGACAGACAAAAAATGTTTTTTCTTAATTGTGAGTGTTTTATGTAAGGTTTGCAGACAGAGGCAGAAGCCTTGTGGACTTAAAATGGCCCAGAAAACACACCAAAAGAGAAAAAAAACATCACGTTGGATCCGAAAATTGTAGAGCTCTGTTTTTATTAGTGTTGTGCCAATGCCATTTTTTTTGGCCCCGATACAGATACTCAATACATGGCAGTGCAGTATTGGCCGATAACATACCGATACCATCTGTTTGAAATTGATGTGTGTCTGTATATACAGTATGAGGAACTGCATACTACTTGGATGTAAAATAATTGCCATCATGGCTTTGTCAAGCTGCTGTCTACTTTTGTGAAGCAGGAAAAAGACCAATACAAAGTGAATTCAATAGAACTTTTTATTGCCTACCTGGAATGGGTGAAATGTATGTATGTATAAAAACCTGGCCAATAAAACCTGTCAGAAATACTATCAAATGTCTTTTTAAAACCCAAATGTCCCACCCAGGTAACATCATCAGTCAACTTTAACACCTATCCCCTTAAAAAAATGAGGCACAACCAGTTTCTCAGATCCTTGTTTCCCACACTGAAAATAAAGAAACCCATCTCTAAGGATGTAACCCCGGTCTTCAGAATGTTTAAGGATTTCTTCATTTGAGACTGGAACTGCTTGGTCAGAAAGAGTCACCAAGGATTCATGACATTGTTGTTGCCTCTTGAAATCATCTTTTGCACCCAAAATGTCCCCATCAAGAGCTTCAATCCCAATGATTTTTGTCTCACTGTACCTGCCATTTTATGAAGCCTTCTTTGTTGTTTTCTTTTCCTAGTTTTAACTGAACTCTCTGGAGGAATATTAGACTTGAAGAAGGCTAGTTCTTGGAGTGAATTCATTTCACCATCAAAGTCAGAATTTATTAATGGGTCTGTCTCTGCAGCATAAGTTCATAACCATCGCTAGCTAGTTGTTTAGCCCGGCTTTGTGATCTGGTTACAACATGCACTGGTTTACAAGAGTGGATAAGATCTGGTAAAACTGGGTTATCCTGACCCAAGATAAGTTTGTGAGCAAGACCTTCTACTACACCAACACTTAAAATACACATTTGCTTCACCAGCTCCAAACAGACTAGAGAAGTAGGGTAAGTTTTGTGATCACCATGAACACAGGAAATATTTAGGCCTGGGCCTTCTACCGTATTTTCACGACTATAAGGCGCATGTAAACGTCTTTTTTTCCCCTCAAAATGTGCGGCGCGCCCTATAGTGCAGTGCGCCCTATGTGTTACTGCGGACTTTGTTGAGACCACCATGAGAACGTTAAAGGGGGAAGTGTGGGCGTGGATTGTGTATAAAAGAACAGGTATGCTTTATGCAGAACATTGTTGTCATAACAACCCTGAAAATGGCAAAGAGACAAGCCTATGAGTGAATCACATGGTGGAGAAGAAGGGGACCAGGACAGTAGCGATACACACAACGGGGTATGAAAAGGCGTCGTTTACTGTTGTACTTGACTGCCACGCAAATGGACAGAAACTGCCGCCTATGGTGATTTTTAAGCAAAAGACTTTGCCTAAAGAGACTTTTCCAGCTGGAGTCGTTATTAAGGCAAATGAAAAGGGCTGGATGGATGATGAGGAGATGATGAAAGCGTGGCTGAGGGAGGTGTATGTAAGGAGACCAGGTGGTTTTTTCCTCGCATCACCATCGCTGTTAATCTGTGACTCCATGCGTGCCCATCTCACAGCCAATGTGAAAAAAAAGGTGAAACAAATGAAAGCTGTGCTTGCTGTTATTCCGGGAGGTCTGACAAACGAACTTCAACCGCTCGACATCGATGTGAACCGGCCGTTCAAAGTAAGGCTGCGAGCGGCGTGGGAGCGATGGATGAACGACGGAGACCACAGTTTCACGAAAAGTGGAAGGCAGTCCCGGGCAAGTTACGCCACCGTTTGCGGATGGATTGTAGATGCTTGGGCTAACGTGTCTGCTGGCACTGTTGTTCGAGCTTTCGCAAAAGCCGGCATCATTTCCGAGGAGCCACACGGCACGGAAAGTGACTCTGACAGCGAAGAAGGGGAAATTGGCATGTCTGATTTAGCACAGCTGTTTAATTCAGAAACAGAGGATGATGACTTCGATGGGTTTGATTAATACTTTGTAATAAATACTTGAATAAAGCACAATCATACTCAGTTTTGCTCCCGCTCTATTTTTAAATACGCAGTAGAGGTATTTAAACGTAGTAGAGGACATGTACCTGCATATAAAAAACGCGCCCTATAGTCCGGTGCGCCTTATGTATGTGTTAAATACAGTAATGGCACACATAACTGAGACTGCGCCTTTTAGTACAGTGCGCCTTATGGTCGTGAAAATACGGTACGTAGCACTGATTTCCAGAAACAGAAGGAGGAATTAAGCTCTGTATACTTCCTGTATCTAGGAGGGCAGTGGCTAACTTTCCATTAACCCTAACCTCCATGGTCTGTTGTTTTACCCTGAAATTGATCTTCTACAACCACTGGTCTCAACACAGTGCAAAAATAGGCTGACTTGGCCTTCCTTATGTTTCTAACACTACAGCCACACAAATGCACATAAACACAAGCCAATTTTTAGTGTGTACTCTCATAAGAAAATAAGGAGTATGAAAGTATCAGAAAGAGCACTATGTTAATTATTTATCATTATAAAAATGTTCAAACAATTTAAATACAATTTTAGAAGGACTGTATATGTAAAACACCAGGTTATGACTCTTTTAAATGACACTGATAAAATCAGAGGGAAACCATGAAAAAAGGATTTAATGATAAAAAATAAAAGTTCAGTTGAACATCTGTGCAAAAAGAGTTGAGATACAGTTTGTTTCAAATATCAAACCCTGTGGCAAAGTGAAATACTTTAAAATCATAAGAACAATAATCCAAATGAGATAGAGTAACTCGCAGCTGTTATCCAGCAGCATCTTAATATTTTTTCTCTGATTAAAATTTACAATACTGAAAATCTCTCATTTCAGCCTCTAATGCGATTAATTATCAGTGTGGAACAATCAGTTTTAATGAGTTTATACTGCCACATTTAATCTAGTAATTATCAGAAAAAGGTCACCTTTCACACAGCATTGAAAAGAGAATTATAAAATTACTTGTAAAGCATGATTAAGATGGAAAAAAGATGTGTTTGGGCGTTCAGTGATTCAGAAATCAGCAGTAGCGGTTGCTTTAACTCAGATTAATATCTTAGTCAACATCTGTTTGTTAATGAAAGCATCAAAACAGGTGTTTATAATATTGGGAGAAATCTGCAATTAACCCAATTCACTCTGTTCACTTTTGCATATGAAAAAATAGATATTTTAGAAAAATGCACTGTTCCTTCCTTCTAAAGCAGAAGCCTTCTATGTAGTGAAAAGAACATATTAGATTACTGTTTTGACAGCTAGTCTGAAGAAAAATGCATACAATAAGTTTAGAAAGCAGCAAAGAATTGATTAATATATAAACCAAAGCAGTCTTCTTTTGGCTACTCATGGTCTGAAACAAAACGTGTAACTGCAGACTGCAAACTGAGAAGAAGCATGTCTTTATGATGTTCATTTGATTTCTGGAATGTTTTGATCTAATTCTAAAGGTTAAAAATGACTTCATATGATGAAAAAAAAAAACTAAACAAAATTTCCTACAAATGGCAGCAAGATTAGAGGAAAGCTTACCTTGTGCCTGCATTTAAGCACCACCCCATATGCACCTGAAAGACATGGAGGAGGGACAACACAAAACAACAAAGTTCAATAAGATGTCTTTCTGGTTCAACTCTGCACTGCAAAAATAATCTAGAAATAAGACAACATTTCTTGAATTAAATGAATATACCCTTAATTTGAGTAGGTAAATAGGATATTTTGCCAATGGAATTAGTATTTTTACTCTTTAACTAAGATAGTTAGAACATATGCAATTGAAATAAGACAATGCAATTGTTTTTTGTTATTTTAAATGTAAATTATCTTGCTCCATTGGCAAAGTGTTTCACTTACCTCCTCAATTCAAGAAAAAATGCACTTATTTAAAGAAAAAATGACTTATCTACATTTTGATTTTTTTCCAGTGTGGTACTATTGTTTGGCCTGTGACCTCATATACAGGTGCTGGTCATAAAATTAGAATATCATGAAAAAGTAGATTGATTTCAGTAATTCCATTTAAAAAGTGAAACTTGTATATTATATTCATACATTACATACAAACTCATATATTTCAGATGTTTATTTTGTTTAATTTTGATGATTACAAATGACAACAAATGAAAATCTCAAATTCATCATATCAGAAAATTAGAATATTGTGAAAAGGTTCAAAATTGATGGCCCCTGGTGCCACACTCTAATCAGCTAATTAACTCAAACCACCTGCAAAAGCCTTTAAATGGTCTTTCAGTCTAGTTCTATAGGCTACACAATCATGGGGAAGACTGCTGACTTGACAGTTGTCCAAAAGACGACCATCGACACCTTGCACAAGGAGGGCAAGACACAAAAGGTCATCGCTAAAGAGGCTGGCTGTTCACAGAGCTCAGTGTCCAAGCACATTAATAGAGAGGCGAAGGGAAGGAAAAGATGTGGTCGAAAAAAGTGTACAAGCAAGAGAGATAACCGCACCCTGGAGAGGATTGTGAAACAAAACCCATTCAAAAATGTGGGGGAGATTCACAAAGAGTGGACTGCAGCTGGAGTGAGTGCTTCAAGAACCACCACACACAGACGTATGAAAGACATGGGTTTCTGCTGTCGCATTCCTTGTGTCAAGCCACTCTTGAACCACAGACAGCGTCAGAAGCGTCTTGCCTGGGCTAAAGAGAAACAGGACTGGACTGCTGGTGAGTGGTCCAAAGTCATGTTCTCTGATGAAAGTAAATTTTGCATTTCCTTTGGAAATCAAGGTCCCAGAGTCTGGAGGAAAAGAAGAGAGGCACTTCATCCACGTTGCTTGAAGTCCAGTGTAAAGTTTCCACAGTCAGTGATGGTTTGGGGTGCCATGTCATCTGCTGGTGTTGGTCCATTGTGTTTTCTGAGGTCCAGGGTCAACGCAGCCACATACCAGGAAGTTTTAGAGCACTTCATGCTTCCTGCAGCTGACCAACTTTTTGGAGATGCAGATTTCATTTTCCAACAGGACTTGGCACCTGCACACAGTGCCAAAGCTACCAGTACCTGGTTGAAGGACCATGGTATCCCTGTTCTTAATTGGCCAGCAAACTCTCCTGACCTTAACCCCATAGAAAATCTATGGGGTATTGTGAAGAAGAAGATGCAATACACCAGACCCAACAATTCAGAAGAGCTAAAAGCCACTATTAGAGCAACCTGGGCTATCATAACACCTGAGCAGTGCCACAGACTGATCGACTCCATGCCACGCCGCATTGCTGCAGTAATACAGGCCAAAGGAGGCCCAACTAAATACTGAGTGCTGTACATGCTCATACTTTTCATGTTCATACTTTTCAGTTGGCCAACATTTCTATAAATCCTTTGTTTTTATTGGTCTTCAGTAATATTCTAATTTTCTGATATGATGAATTTGAGATTTTCATTTGTTGTCATTTGTAATCATCAAAATTAAACAAAATAAACATCTGAAATATATGAGTTTGTATGTAATGTATGAATATAATATACAAGTTTCACTTTTTAAATGGAATTACTGAAATCAATCTATTTTTTCATGATATTCTAATTTTATGACCAGCACCTGTAAAGGTGTCTTTAAAGAACAGAACATTTAGTAAGGAGGAGCTATACCAGCTTGCCTACACACTAAAGGATGATGAATGTCTAGAACTGTCTAGAACCCCGGAAGTCATCCTGTCTCTATTTACCTCTTATAATGTCATTGGGTTTTCTCCATTCCACTAAGCAAGGTAAAATTTTTATGTCCTTTATAGCTGAGGTCTTAAACCCCTGGATCAAAGACCTGTACTGGGCAGGGATGAACAGTAGTACTGTAGGTAACTCTTCTAATTTCATTGGCACTGAGGCGCATAGTGTGAGAGTGGCACCCTGGTTTAAGCCTTACATTTTATGTATCAGGTTCTTAGTGAAGAAAAAAGACCAAATGCTTTTTTTGTTATTGCTGTTTTCTTTGTATAAAAAGACACATGTTTTAAAAATAAAAAACACTCATTTTCAGCATAGAACCCCATTTTAAAGGGCAAAGCTTACATTTTTTTCCTTTAAAAAAAAAATCTAATTGAGTAGGCTACTGGTAAAAAAATAATAATAATAAATCCACAAAACCAAATAGTGTTTTAGATTAAACGTAATAGCTTACTGAAAAAGTTTATTATTTAAGTAATTATTAACATTTGACAGGTTCAAATATTGAAATATTAAATACTGGTGGTGATGCCAACTTCCACATTAAAGATTCTGCATCAAAATGAATAGTAGGATGAGAGCTAAGGCATTGCCAGATCTTAGGAACTCTGTGGTAGAACTAAAAAAAAAAAGATTCTTCTTCGGATTAAATGTCAAACATTCAATCAGAACAAAAAAGGAACACAACAGAGTTTCAAATTGATTAAGCTTTTGCACAGGTAAGTTAAAGGCTTATTAATGCTAACCAAAGGTCAGCATGTACCATAATGTGGCACACGTCTGCCTCTGCAGGTTTGTTGGATGTTTGTGCAAAATGATTCAACATCTGGTCAGCTGCTCATTTGTTTGTTAGCATTAGTTAATCTTTGTTTCATAAGAAATAGGTAGTGAATACAAAACAATGTTTATAAAATAGTTGCTAACATGAACAAAAGGTTTTCATAGATATAGCTAGGGCTGCAACAACGAATCGATAAAATCGATAAAAATAGACTTTTAAAAGCATTGGCAACGAATTTCATCATCGATTAGTTGTGTCGCGCGATTAATGCGTCATCCGCCGCCGTCATCACATCCACTTGACTGAAACGGGGGAAAGAAAAAAAATACGGCAGAGCGAGCCAGCGCCGCAGGGCGCAGTGTTGCCAACTCAGCGACTTTTCAGACCCCTCCAGCGACTATTTTTCAAAAAAGCGACTAGCAACAAATCTGGCAACTTTTTACGGTGTCACTGGCGGCTTTTGGAGACTCTTACGTGAAAGCATGTATCGTTCCTATGCCTCCCCCATCCCAACCCCGTTCTCCCGCTCCCGCAGGAGTCCCTCTCAGCGCTGCAGTCAGAGCCGCAGGATGTTTACCCTCAGCGTCCAGACTGCAAATAAAGCGCGCATGAGCCGGGATTGACGGCGCAAATTGATCACAATAATTAAAATAGCCTGCGCTTTGTAAAGTGAAAAAAGTCGTAACATGCAACTTTTGTAAAAACAAATTAACATGGCACGGAACCACCATGTTTGTTTCATTTTAAAGTGGGGAAACGTGACGTCAGTTTCTCAGGTAGCTCATCTGATGCTTTCCTTACCTTGTTAGTAGGTTACAGACAGTGACAAGGTTGGCTACTTATTTTACTTTTAATTTCATTTGAATTAGCTTAAGCAGCGTTTATATTTACTTTATAAATAAATTAACTTGCAAATTATGAGGGCAAGGCTTTTAAAGTTTAAATCTTCTGGCAAAGATAAAGTAAAGAAGATCCTGCAATTTATGGAAGTAAAGCAGATTAAAATCCAGCAAGATCAGTAATATGTCAATTAATTATATGCCACATTCCCATGTAAATATCTGTCTTTGGAGGATGTGTTTTTTAGCACCCCTAGTTCTCTCATTTTTATTCCAAATACAATTTATAACTTGAATCACAGGGCTATTTTTATCTCTATAGTTAAGTATTTTCTCAAGTAGCAACTTTAACTGCTATACTTTCCTGTCTTAAAAGGCAGAACTCTTCTAGTCTAAAAAACCTCATTTGTTGAAATGGGGGGACCTATTGTTTGAACCCCTTAGGGGCTGTCTTTTTTTGCACTTTTTGAAACAAAGTACATATTTATATGTATTTTGTGGATGTACAGCTACATTTCTCATGTAAGTTTGCGTAGTTTTAACACAAACATTTATTTTTCATATAGCACCAGTACAGTTAATGAGCAACCTGTACTTGTGTGCTTGTTTGTTCTGTCTAAAATTTTTATTTTGGAATAAAGAGGTTAATATAAAAAATATTTTTCGGACGATTCATCGATTTTTAAAATAATCGTTAGTTGCAGCCCTAGATATAGCCTTATTTTTTGTTTTGTTTTTCAAATTGCAAAGGGACATTATTACCATTGTTCACTCCAGAGAGTTTCACCCATTTTAGCTATTATTAATAATCATAATTTTTCCTTTACTGATTAAATTGGAAAATTTGTTCTCTGTATTTAAAACATCCTAACAATCTAAACATGTTAATCAAGAACACTGTTTCAGTGGGTAAGGACGTTTAAAGAAACACAGAAAGGCTTATAAGTGAATTAATATACCACGCACAATCCCTCGTTAGACATTTTTCTTCTCTGTCTGCGGATTTGGCAGATCTGGAACAAGAGCAGGCGAGTGCAGGAACATCACCTGCTCACCAGGACGAATTAAACAGTATCTGTATTCTTTAACATATAGGTCACAGTAGCGTGGTTTGGATTGCTCTGCTGCACTGCAGAAAATGTACAGAGATTCAAAACAAATAGTGGAAGTAAGCCATGAAGAAAATAAATGTCTTCAAGGGAAATGCAGGTAGACATATACATATAATGCAGAAGCAGGCCATACATATGTTAAAAACATGGTAGTTGTTGTACTAAATGTTGAATTTTCTCTTAAAACAGATGACCAAATAATATATTTTTGTATTGTGCGGTTGAAAACTAACTATGTAGAGCTAGAGTAGGGATATATTTGAACAAATTCAAAGGCTTACAAGCATAGTTTCATCTTAAATTTGAGAAACATAACATGGATTTTTTCATCTGGTTTCATCTATGCCAGAGAGGAATATTATTATCTTTTCTCTGTTTGACTTGAGCACAGCTTTTAAAACATGGTTTTTGGTACAGCCTGTAAAACTCAACATTTCTTGCCAAGCTGGAAGTGGGTGGAACATGGCCTTTAGGCTGCTGGAGGACTTCGCATGTAAAACACAAACAAAAGATGTGGTGAAATTTCACACATCTTCTATTAAAATATGCAGAGATTTGATCAAATGTGATTTAAAAAATGTAGGATGAAAATTAGGCATGTAAGTTAAATTAGAATGTAGGCAACCAGAGGACATAAGCAACTTAAAGGATTCATGTTCTTAATTTTTTCAACAAGAAAATCCTAAATCTGAAGCAGAGCAAATCTTACAAATACAGCATCTTTCATATCTATTGGCAATTCAAGGAAAGGTGTGGAAAAAAAAACATAAAATAAATGTCTCATACTGCTATATTATATCATACTACTAAAAAGTAATCATTCAATAGTTTACAAAAGCATACATACATGTAACAGGGTAATCCCACACATAAATACAGCTATAACAAGGCATTTAAAAACGGGGAAAAAAACATCTAAAAATGCTTTTAAAAACTTAAAAAAATGAAACCTGCATCTGTGTGATCTGTTAGAAAGCACTTAGGTTGTGCTTTTCGCAAGAAATATTGAAATATTTCAGGTGGATCTGGAATAAAGCTGGGGGCTCTTCGTAAGGGGGAAATAAAACGTTCAACCAAACTAACTTAATTCACGAGATTGTGTCCTACTGTTATCAATTACTATATTAGAAATCTGAAAAATATAAAAAAAAAGAAAAAAAGGTTTGTTTTATAATTTTTTGGTAAGGGCGCCGCCATGTTGCAGTACCTCAAACTGTGACGTCACAGGGTTGGTCAACACTAACTCTAACAACTGTATACATTGGATATACTGGTGACACATCATACCCATAAAACATTTAAAACATTTGCTTTGATGGAAGGCGAAGCTGAAAGGGCAATGAAACGTCTAAATCTCGTTGTTTTTGCTTTGGTGCCCTTTCAACGTGGGACCTGAGCCGTAGGAAGGAGAGAAGGGGCAGTTTTGGAGCCGTGGTTCTGACTGTCCCTGCTACCCCACAGAACAACGGTTCTGGAGATTATGTAAGGCAGAAGACTTTTTATTCTGGCAAGCTAGTGGTCCACTGGACAGCCAACTAAAGCCTGAAGATACTCCGAGTGTTTTTAATTTTACCGCCTATAAGTTGGGCTCTATATACCTTATGATAACCTGACCGCCTGTCATGGAAACGGGGAATCACAGTAAGAAATGGAACATTTCTCTGGAGGTTTGGACCCACTGTGGTAGCCAGTGGCTAAGGGAAATATATTAATCCTGATGGCTGCAGCTTGAGTTATGAGAATGTGTGCTTTTAAGAGACTCGCATAGGGATAAAGTTGGAGAACTGAGTTTTTTTTTTGTTTAGTTTGGTTGAACGTTTTGCGATGGACTGGCACCCTGTCCAGGGTGTACCCCGCCTCTCGCCCATAGACAGCTGGAGATAGGCACTAGCAACCCTCATAAACCTGCTGGGATAAGCGTGACAGAAAATGGATTGATGGATGTTTGAACGTTTCATTTTTACGATTTAAGGCAGTGGGAACCTTGTTGTTGGGCATTATGACAAGGACCCTAACATATCAAGATATAAAAAGAAAAACTGGTTAAATCTGAAAGGTAAAAAAAGTGAATATCAACACTAAAATGATTCACCAGACCATGAACCTCTCAACTGGCTTCTCATAACAGGTGAGCTGAACAGTCTATATAAGTTGTCTGCTTAGGCTGATTCACAGGCTTCAAAGGAACTATCAGGCTTCAATAAATCTTTTTTTTTAAGAATCTGCATGGCTGCTATAATGTTGGGGTGCTCCTCACATGCATATAAGGATCCTGCAAACGTTATGAATAGAGTCCTGCCACACAATACAAAACAGTAAAACTCTCATAAAAAAATACGCAGCATGACACATCAGAGTCCCGAGTGGTGCAGATCATCAGCATTAGAGCTAGAGGTTAACAACACTATTTAATCTGCAGTGTGAAAACACCCACCTTCTCCCACAATGCCAAGGACTTCAAACTTATTCATCACATCACCGAGAGCAGGTTCTCCTCCACCGGGTAAAATGAGCTGCTTGGATTTTAATAGGGACACTCCTGCTTGGACCAGCAACTGGCAAGGTGAGCTGCAGACTCCTGGAGAAACATGGCAGGCCTCTGACTACGTGCCATCTTTACTCCTCTTCTTTCCACAGACTCACTTTTCCTGCAGCACTCTTCAGAGACTATTTAACTTTCCCGTTAATGTGAGTTTGTATTTATTAAAATATCCAACTTTAGGTCTTCAAAGGGTCCTTTTATTCCATATTTTTGTGTTGCTCCTGTACCTTTATCCAAAACTCCACAGAGAGGCATCTGGAAGAGAAGACAAAGAAGCTTTTGAATATCTCGCTTGTAGGTCACTTCAAGGTCCAATTAATAATGCTATGCACAAGAAGTGTAAGAGCGGTTGTAAACAATGCAGGTGGAAAAATGAGACACATGAACTTAGGGCTGTTTTTGCATGACTTTGACCCATATAGTTATTATTACTTTTCTTATGCAACAACTGTAAGGGTGTTGTAGCAGGGTTAAGATGTAAGTACTCAATCAGGAATTCCACAGTCTGGTTAAAACACAAAGCTAACTACAAATCTATTTTATAGTTAACAATCTTAAACAAACAATCCACACAACCTTAGCTATTGTGTGGAAACCTGTGTCCTCAGAGAACAAATTTCTTATCTCTAAGCCTCATTTTTCCTTATTCAATACTGTAAAAATCCTTGGTGTTATTTTTGATCAGGACCTTTTCTGCATATCTCATATCAAACAGGTTTCTACAAATTCCTTTTTTTCATCTTCTTACAATTGTAGGAACTGAAATATTTTGTCCAAAATGCCTAAAAACAAGTGCATGCATTTTCCATGCACTAAATGTAGTAAAAAGCCTTCAGCTGATTTAAAACACTGCAGCCAAAGATCTGATGAAAGATAAAAATAGAGATCGCATTTCTCTTATTTTAGCTTCCCTTCTTTGGCTTGTGTTAAATCCAGAATAGAATTTAATGTTCTCCATCTCACATATAAAGCCCTAAAAAACCAAACATCATCTTGTCTCAGATAAACTATTGACCCTTATGTTCCTAAAAGGGGCACTTCACTCTCAATCTGCAGGTTTACCTGTGGTCCCTGGAATTTCTAAAAGTAGAATTAGAGGCACATCTTTAAGTTATCTCCTGTGAAACCAACTACCAGTTTTAATCCACAGGGTAGATACCATGTTTATTTTTCTGTTAAGGCTTAAAAAGTTCCATTTTGAAAAAGGATAAAGGTAGCATGTGCTGGTTATACTAAGATATCTGTAAAGTGATTCTGCTTTGGCCTTAAGCTGCTGGAGGACATAGGAACCACTTTTCATCATTCTGCTTCATTCTACTTGTATTCTCCAATTTTGCATTGTTTGTTAGTTAAGCCCTTAACTTTATGTTTTCTCTGTTTTTAATTGTCATAGTAGTAGCATCATCTGGCCCGAATGTCTGTTTATTTATAACACCATCCTGGAGTAAGAAATCAGCGGGGATGCTGTTGTTAACATCTTCAATTACACATCATAGAGTTAGGCTTGTTTTTAATTGTTCAGTCCTATTAGAAATAGCTATGGGATAAGCTTTTACTGTGATTGGCTGTTTGTGCTCTCTTTCATCATTTTAGAATGAAAACTCAACTCAATGATTTGTTTCTTTCCTAGGTAGAGCTCATTTACCGTTATCTTTTCTAACATAGAACTTTGTCATGGAATACTGCTTCTTTGTTCCTTTTGTCTGTCACCTTCTGTCTCCCAGTCAGCCTTAGTAGCGGGCTGCTCACAATGTGTCGGGTTCTTCTGGGAGTTTCTTCCAGTTAAAAGAGGGTTTTCCTTCTCTAGTGTCGCTGCATGCATGCTTGCTAAGAGGGATTACTGCAGAGACAACAACACAGTGCAAGAAAGTGTCTACAGCTATATTCATCCAGGAGGAACAAGTTCTTCAAATTGCTAATTGCAATGACTTGATGGAATCATTTGGGTTTCTTTAGCTAGAAAACTTTAAACGATCCCTGTATATAATTTGATTAATTTGTCTCTGTAAAAAATGCCTTGAGATGACATGAGTGAGTTGGCAGTATATAAATAAACTGAATTGAATTTACTTCAGTAGCTAAAACTGGCTACCCAATTAGAAAAAATAAAGCTTTAATTTTTTGCATATACTCCAAAAAGTTTAACAACCTGATTATCTGGGTATGTATTTTTTGCTATTTATTTTTTGGGCATTTTCAGGGTGACAGTTAAGCGATTAAAAACAGTTTTTAGGTAGTTGGAAAAAACAAGTGGGATTTCACTGCCATTAAAGTGTCAGACACGGCCTCCATGTTGAATATTGTAGAAAAATGTTAATAATTATTTCAGGACCAGAGATTTGGACCTCAACAAGTCTCCATTATCATTTAGTGCTACTATCCCTTACATTTATATTCCAACTTAATCTGATCCAAGAGACAACATTGGTGTGTCACATCTTAATCCAAAATCTTAAACCCTAAGTGGTTATACTGTATTGTAACGAACACCATCCACACTGTAAAGTTCAGTCCAATGAGGTGTGAGTGATGGCCGTAAGAGGAAACATTTCAAGACATCATACAGGAAAGCAAACTTGGGCCTCACCACGTGACCAAAAAAAGTAACAAAATGGAAAAATGACAGCGACATTATGATTTGGAGTGGCCAAAAAAGCTCTAATCTCAGAGCTGAAGAGTTATGTGGAAAAAAAGGTGACCTAAACACTTGACTCCTTCATTATTTTAGTCCTTTTGGAAAGAAAGGGCAAATGTTTAGGGACACTATTAGGTGAAGCATGGTGGAGTAATCCCAAAATGTTTGACTAGAGTCATACAATTCAGACACTAGACTATGTAAATATTAAAAGCAAACTAAGGTTGAATCAATATAGTGATAAGTAAGATCTTTAACCTTCTAATAATTTATTGCTTTTTCCTCATTGCATATATCTAACTGTTTAATTTATAATGATGTTCTCATGGTTTGGTCCACTTTTGTTGCACTCTATAGCAGTCTCTTAACCCTTTAACACTGTAGTCTACTTTGCAAAACATATTAAAGTATTTTGACATGCAAGCAAAGCATTTTCATAATTTCCAGTATAAAATTACGAGTGAGCATAGCACCTCCTGGTGCCTTTAGTATCCAATTTTAGAGTTTTTTACTTCTTAAAGTAGATGATTTAGAGGCTGAATTCAGTCATGTAAGTGGAAAAAAAGTTACACTTAATTTCTAGTTTATACAAAAAATTCTAGGAAATTGGGCTGAGGAGATTTGCATGCCTTAAATTGGCTAAAAAAAAAAGACCCTTGCACCTGCATCCCCCCAACACACACACACATATAACTAAAAGAAAAAGGTATATAGGCATTTCTGTAATGTCACAAGACTTCCATAGTTTTTGGATAAAGACATGACTAAATAAAAATATTGCACAACACTACCCATCTAAAATTGTCCCAAAGGACACCATTTTGAAAAATAGATGCAGAATACTAATTGCAAAATTAGCATTAATCCACACCTCGAAAACAAATAAGCGTCAAGACTTGGCTAAAGAGGCATGGTGTAAATCTAAGTTTCTGTGTGAGAATACCGAATTATGTAAACATTCATGGACAAAAAATACATCCAAAATATACAAACACCTTGAAAAATAAAAGTAATAATATCTAATCACATGCAATTTTTTACACCGTGAAGTTTTAAATCAAGTCTGACCAAGGTCCAACCCAAAATAACTATAAATTTTCAGGTAGCCAAGCCAACTTCCTTTTGATAATATCCAAAAATATTCAAACACTTTAAGGTCAGACCTGCTATATGTCTTATTATCTAAACCTGCAGTACTATATATATGGATTTAATCTGACACCTTTTCTGAAATAAAATACATTTTTATCTAACTAATACTTTTTAACAGACATCATAGATATCCCTGTATGCATGAGCTTTCTTTATGTGCTTCCAGATATGAAACAACCAAGGAATCATGTTATACAGTTTCCTTTAGTACGCAACCAGTTTCATAAGCTGGTCTTCATATTTACTGAAAAAAAATCTATCCGTAACATAACACCTCTCTAATTAAGGATTTTCAACTGATCCCAGGTTTAGATTACACTCACCGGGCACTTTATTAAGTACACTTGGCTCACTGCTTGTTAATGTAAATTTCCAATCAGCCAATCACATGGCAGCAACTCAATGTATTTAGGCATGTAGACATGGTCAAGAATATCTGCGGCAGTTGAAACCGAGCAACAGAATGGGGAAGAAAGGTGATTTCCTTGACTTTGATCGTGACATGGTTGTTGGTGCCAGACGGTCAGGCTGAATTCTTTATAAAACTACTGGAAATTTCACACACATACATCAACAGGGTTCTTAGAGCATGTTCCGAAAAAGAGAAAATATCCAGTGAGCTGCAGTTCTGTAGGGTCAAATGCCTTGTTGATGCCAGAGGTCTGAGCAGAATGGCCAGACTGGTTCGCGCTGATAGAAAGGCAACAGTAAGTCAGATAACCACCCATTACATCTGAGGTATACAGAAAAGAATTTCTGAATATACCACACATGGAATCTTGACACGGACACTACAGCAGCAGAAGAACACACCAGGTGCCGCTCCTGTCAGCTAAGAACAGGAGACTGAATCTACAGTTTTCCCAGGCTCACCAAAATTGGACACTAGATGACTGGAAAACATTGCCTGGATTGAGGATTCAATTTCTGCTGTAATTTTCAATATTAGGGACCACAGTGTACCCATCTGATGGGATCCATGTCATAACATGTGAATCATCTTAGACTGGTTTCTTGAACATGAGAATAAGTTCACTGCACTCAAAAACCTTTCACAGTCATAAGATCTCAATCCAATAAAGCACCTTTGGGATGTGGTGGAATGAGATTTGCATTGTGGCTGCGCAGCCAACAAATCTGTGGCATCTGCTTTATGGTATCATTTCAGTAAAGACCAAAGGTCTAAGAGGAATGTTTTCAGTACCTTGTTGAATCTATGCTGCAAAAGAATAAGTAGTTCTGAACGCAAAATGGGTTCCAACCCGGTAGTATCAAGTTTTACCTAAGGGGCCAGTGAGTGTATGATCACATTCTTTTGCTAGAATGTGGCCCTTAGTATGGGCCAACATTCAGGTTTTGAGTCAAGGAGGCTTATTGAAAAAATGATAACCAATAGTCATGTAACAATGCAAAATTACTGATTTGAAACAACAGCATCAGTTTTATTGACTTACATTGCATTACTGTA